AAAGGGTGGTGGAAGGCTCCCTTCTCAGTCAAGGATGTGGATATGATTCGGATAAGCGAATGTGAGGTAAGAGGGCAGTTTCAGAGGGAAAGCTCAATGGCTTGGGACAGAGCAGGAGATACCAGGGAACTTTCTTCTCCCCTCTCTTCATCCATCTCACCCTTTCCTCTAAATAAAGCTAATATTATGTTAAAGAACCACTCTTTAAATGGATATCAAATATAAGTTTTCCCAGGGTGGCTTGGAGTGGCACCACCATGGCAGGACACTATCTGGCAGGTGCTTGAGGCTCAGTCCACTCTCAGAGGAAAAGTTTATGTCTCGAGGCCTTTTATGACTTGAAAGTCTAGGCCAGCTGTTAATTCTTATAAAATATGTCAAAAGAAAGACCAAAAACAGGGCCCATTTTTTGCTGTTGTTTTAGCCAAAATTTTGGGTAAAAATGTTGTTTCACAGTCGAGTTCAGCTCTGTGTAACTACAATAGGAAGAATTAACTGACTAGTTTTAGAACAAAAAGATTTAAAATTTGAAATCAGACTCTAGCACTCTACTGAATTAATGCTGTGACCTAGAACTTGTCATTCAAGTCCTCTAAGACCTGCTTTTTCCATGCCTGTAAGGGGGAATCACAAACTCAGTTGTGAATTTGAATGAGATGTTTTAAAAAATATATTGTTTATGTGACTGAAAACCCTCATTAAATTAATAATTAATGAATTAAATAACTTGAAATTATTAATGTGAGCAGCAATTTTTAAAAATTTACATGAACTTTTAGGGCTGGAGAGATGGCTCAGCATTTAAGAGCACTGACTGCTCTTGCAGAGGACCCAGGTTCTATTTCCAGCACCCACATAATGGCTAACAACCATCTGCAACTCCAGTTCCAGGGAATCTGACATCCTCTTCTGATCTCTGCAGGCATTGCAGGACATGGGTACACTTACCTACATTCAGGCATTACACTCACACACATAAAATAAAAATAATAAAATATTTTAAAAAATTTTCATGACCTTTTATAGGATGGATAAGAAATAATACAAGGCCAGGCATGGTGGTGCAGGCCTTTAACCCCAGCCTCCTGGAGGCAGAGGCTGGTGGATCTTTAAGTTCCAGGTCAGTCTGATCTACATAGCAAGTTCCTGGCAGACAGGGCCACATAGTGAGACCCTGTCTCAAAAAAAGAAGAGGAAGAGGAGGAGGAGGATAAGGAGGGGAAGGAGGAAGAAGGAGAGGAGAAAGGGAAGGAGGAAGAAAAAGAAGAGGAGGAGGAGGAGGAGAAGGAGGAAATATTGTAGTAGTAGTGATAGTATATAGAGGCTAGAGAGGTAGTTCAGTGGTTAAGAGCCCTTTCTGCATTTCTAGAGGACCCAAGTTCAGTTCCCAACACCCATGTTGGGTGGCTCACAGTCATCTGCAGCTCCAGCTCCAGAGGATCTGACACCCTCTTCTGGCCTCCTTAGGCACCTGCACGGTCTCACACACACACACACACACACACACACACACACACACAGGCACATGCATGCACACGTGTGCGCACACATGTATGTGTGTAAATTAAAAAAAAAAAAAACACAAATCTTAAAAAAATAGAAATAGGGGCTGGAGAGATGGCTCAGCAGTTAAGAACACTGGTTGTTCTTGCAGATACCTGGGTTTGCAAATCCCAGCACCCACATGGTAGCTAACAGTCTGTCCATAACTCCAGCTCCAGGGGATCCTCTTCTGTCCTCCACAGGCATTGCATGACACAGGTGCACTTGCCTACATGCAGGCAATGCACTCATACACATAAAATAAAAATAATAAAACTGAAAAAAAAGAGAAATAAGCACAAGGGCCAACCATTTGGCTTTGAAAGCAGTAGTAGACAGGTATAAAGTTTCATCAATAGCTAAATTAATTTTTTTCACAAGAAAGCTTTTTTCCAAGAAAGAAAGTTGATGAGAATGCATTCAATGATTCTTAATGTAATTAAATGTAGTAGATAATGCTATCATGTATAAAGTATATTGAATTTACAAACTGAAGTTCACAAAATCCCGTTGCAAATCTACCTTGAGGAATAAAAATGTTTAATTACCTATTAAAATTTTCATGGATCCTACTGACATTTCCTAAGAAAATATCAATTTTTGAAAAAAACAAAGATATGTTTGTATAATGCCAACTCCTATACACAGTATCTCTCTCTCTCTCTCTCAGGTATTTTTACACATCGTTGATATATTTCATTTCTTTATGAGAATTACTTTAAGGAAGCCAGGCATGGTGGCATGCCTATAATCCCAGGACGTGGTAAGTGGAAGTAAAGAGATCAGAAGTCAAGGCTGTCCTCACCCGCACAGCAAGTTTGACACCAACCTGGACTACTCAAAAAACTAGAAAAAAAATTTTTTTAATTAAAAAATTCACACATCGTTGATATATTTCATTTCTTTATGAGAATTACTTTAAGGAAGCCAGGCATGGTGGCATGCCTATAATCCCAGGACGTGGTAAGTGGAAGTAAAGAGATCAGAAGTCAAGGCTGTCCTCACCCGCACAGCAAGTTTGACACCAACCTGGACTACTCAAAAAACTAGAAAAAAAATTTTTTTAATTAAAAAAAAAAAAGAAAGGTAAATGTGCCACAGGTATTATATTTTGACAGCTTAGAAATACAGAAACAGGAAGAGTTGAGAAGAAATCAGTTGACTGGTATGTCTATCAGGGTTGCAAAAGAAGGGACTGTGGCAGGAAGCAGGCATTTTTACCTTTCCAAACCCACACTGCTCTCTGGTCAGCCCCACAGTGCATTTGTTTAAGCCCCTGGAAAATAGACCAGGCAGCTTGGAACTGAGCTCCAGGCCTTAAGATGGGGAGTACTTTTCTGTTGTCTGGGTCTCCTCATCTGTAAACAGGCTGTAAAAATTCCAGCAGTGCCCATTTCAGGAAAACGGTTTGCTGAGCCCCCTTACTTTACACACGAGGACGCTGAGTGGTGCAGACTCTCTTAAGGTCACATAGCTAATTAGTGACAGCATCAGAACGAGAAATGAGAGTCTTGAAGACTTGGCCTTCCTGCAGGAACAAAGCTGCCATTGAAGCAACAGATAGGAAAGCGCTTTGGAAAACGTAATAATGTAAGAGTGTCCCTCAGGAGAACGGCTATGGACACATCTACTGAATCACCATCAGGAGCTTCCGTGGCAACTAATTAAGAAATGTCTCTGAGAGCATCCTGTGCCTGTAGCAAGAGTCTTCTTTCCTTTAAAACCAAATGCACTCGGTTTCAGTGCTCAACAAAGACACCAGGAGTAAACAATTAACTGAATTAATAATTCAGGCACTGAAGTGGATTTTCAAGGACTTGACTTGCCCAAGCTAGTTTTCTTCAAAGCCTAAATTAATAAGATAATTGCTAATTCTCTCCTTTGTTTTGCACTAAGGAGAGTCTATTTGTTAAAATGAACCTAGCAGCCAAATAAACAATCATTAAAACAATTTCAAAGCTTCAAATCTGAACCAAATGAGCAAGTTCCATGCACACTATTTACTGCTATGACCTTAAAGGCTAACGTTTAGGCACTGAATGTGAACATTAATATTGCTTCTTTTTATTTTGAAAGGACTTTTTAATCAATTGTTTAAAATCAGGCTATTATAAGCACAATTGGTTGCGTTATTTCTACCCTCCATTAAATGCTCTCATGGCATACATAAACACAATAGTGAAATCTTTTTGACATGCTTTAAAAATATAGTCAGTTTAATATGATTCTAAATAATCTCCACTTAATAACTGTCAAGTTTTTTAAATTAACCAAACAATGCAAATTGCCCTTCTACTATCTGGAGGAAAGCTGTAATTTATTAATGAGATCAGAAAAATTAAGTACATGTGAAATGAGACTTTCTAGAGCTTTCCTGCTTCATCAGAATTTCAGAATCCAGAATAACTATCATATCCCTTATAATTTCTTTGTGATTCATCTAGCATAAAATAGACCATTATGGCTATAATGAAATATTTTGCCCAATCTCAGGGTCAGAACTTTAAAGCATGTCAGTATGAGCATGGAGCTTTGGCTTGTCACTGTCCTGAGTGCTTGTATTTCAACATTAAAGATTTTCCTGGGTGTGTGTGTGTGTATGGTTGGGTGTAGTGATGAATTCACAAAGAAATAACACTTAACTTTCAAACTCAGTGCAGCAGTATAATTTAGTTTTGCGGGACACAAACTGAGGTGAAAATGTGACCAAAATACTTTATGTAACATAATAACTGTTGATTACCAGATAGATTTCATAAACAGTTGGCAAATTGTAACCTACAACAGCTGTCACTATAAATTTAGAGTAAATGTTAATTTAGGAATATTAACCTCATGAATGTTTCTGTAAACAAAGCTTATGCCATTTTCAAAGGTTACAGAGAGTGGCCAGGGTATTTTTAGCCCAACCTAATGCAACTTTACCCCTCACTGTTTCTAGATACTTTGGTTTTACACTTGAAAAGACTTCAATCCTCAAGATGCCTTTGGAGTGATTCCCCTGAGTAAGCAAACTGCAAAAAGAAATATATCTGCTGGACTTACATCTTGTGGATGAGAGAATAAACTAAAGGAATTTCCAGGAATGCGTTTTGCTTTTTAATTTTGTGTATGAGAAAACAAAGAAAGCATTTTCAGTGGAGTTCCACTCATTACTAAATAAAGTAACCTGTAAAGAGAGCAGTTGCAGTGCCCACATTTCCGCCTGAAACACCGCAGCATCGGTCCCTTTTGTCCTGTTGGAACAACTAATTTCCAAGTAAAATCTGCATGACAGATCACAAACTCTAGTGCAAGCTGCTAAACAGCTGCATCAAGAATTTTAGTCCTGTACATACACGCAGCAGAATGCAGTACTCAGCTGCGGGCATGCTCGCTGCTAGCTGATAAAAAGCCATCTTTTTCTTGGAACGCGCGGGTAAAATGCAGTGAGCTCGACAACACACAAAACGCAGTACCTGCCTCCTCCGCCGAGGTTCCTCCAGTTCTGTGCTTTCGGCAGCTTGGCAGCCCTTCCACGCCAAACGCTTCTACCTTCCCAAAAATGTGTGTCAGCGCAAGCCCGGACGAAACTTCAAATCCAGAAAAATGAAATTACCCATGCAGATCAAAGGCAGACGAGCTGGGAGATGAAATGCCTGTAATCTGATCGCCGATCAGTTGCTGAACATCAAAGGCAGGGCTGAGCTTATATACATGCACCGAGATCCAGAAAGTTCGCTCCCAGCAGGTACTTAGCTGGGCTCCCGCCTCCCAAGCCACACATTCTTTTGTTAAACATGGGCCACGTTGTTTGCCCCCAGCCCTGGCGAGCAGGCAGACCCGGGCTCCCGGGCCCGGGCTGAGTGGCTGGATAGCCCTAGCTGGCCCTCCCCGTTCCCAAGCTGTGCTGAGGACTGCGTGTGGGAAGCGCTGCCTAGTGCCAGCGGGCTCCGCTGCATCCCTTTCATCTCGCTGAACTGCAGATCCCATGACATCATGCCGCGCCGTGGGACTGGTAGGAGAGCTTCGGTTCAGCCTGTGGGGGAGCTGGCTCGAGGGAGGCCAGCCTGCCTGATTTACAGTCGCGTTGTCCATGTGCCTGGCCAGAGACAGCTTTGCTAGCAGCTTCTCAGCTGTCAGGGACAGACAGCAACTGCTGCGGGGCGCTGCGCTTCTGGGTGATAAGATCCGTTGGATGCAGGTTCCGGATGACAGCATCTGACCGCTGCTTGGCTGATAAAAATCACATTGTCCCACCAACCCAGAGTATCCAAAATGCAGAATAAACAGCAGTGTTTAAATACTAGGCCGTTTCTCCCAAACACCCAGTGTACACTGCCAGAGACACAGGCAAACATTTTTAAAACTTGGTTCCCTCCATGCCCCCCACCTCCCACATGTCTTTAAGGGCTAGTAAACTGTCTTTTCCTGGAAAAGTAAATTATTATAGTCGGACTTCCAATCAAATAGTGACTTTGACTGAGTAGTGAGGGAGCAGATAACAATTTATCAAGATACCTTCACATTCTCCCCTGAGCCCTGGGCAGACGTCCTAGTGTAGATTTGGGTTTCTTAAAACAACAAAACAAAAACAAAACAAAAACCTGATTTAAGGACAATTCCTTCATAAACACAATTCATGGACACTTGTGGATTTTAAAATTCACACAAAAAATGATTACTTAGAGCAAAGCGTTTGCCCTGAAGCAACCTTGTCTACCAAGTCCCAAACCCATTGTTTGGACTAAGTTGAGAAATTGACACCTCATTCTCTTCTCCAAGATTTACAGTGAAATCTATCAGACATCATTTAGAATATTCACACTACTTACCTTGACAAGGGCAGATTCAATGTAGCGAAATTATTTTCTTTTCAGCATTTAATAAAAAATAAGAATTTCTACTGGAATCCAGAATACAGTGTATTTCTGAATTTTGAACAGTTCTCTAATGGAATAAGGGAAAATTTTCATTTTCTAGTGGAAATGTATCAACTTTTAGAAGATCAGTGAAAACAATTTTTGTAAAACTTGGAGAGTAGAATTTACTCTTCTTCCTGTGACTTCCTGCTCTAATTAGTTCTACCTTATTTTCCCTAATACAGTATTTGAAAATGTAGTTTATGATGTGCTTATTTCCAGAGTTTCATAATTCGTGAATAAATTTTTTAAATATTTTTTGTTATATTTTGTTTTATGTGTATGAGAGTTTTGTCTGCATGTATGTAAGTGTACAATGCCTGTGAAGGCCAGAAAAGGGCATTAGATCTTCTGGAACTAGAGTTCTAGATGGTTCCACCATGTGGGTGCTGGAACTGAATTTAGATCCTCTGAAGGAGCAGCCATTGCTCTTTACCACTGAGTCATCTCTCCAACCCCACGTTGTACCTTTTTTTTTCTTTTTTTTGAGACAGGATCTCATAGACCCCAGGCTGGTCTCAAACTTGTTGTGTAGTCACGACAACCTTGAACTCTTTTGTTTATTTGTTTTTATTTTTGACAGCGTCTCCCTAGCCCCAGCCCACCTAGAACTCACTATGTAAACCAGGCTGGCTTTGATCTCACAGAGATTTGCCTGTCTATGCCTCTCAAATGCTGGGATTACAGGCATGCACTATCAGTTTATGGGGGTGGAACCTAGAGCTTCATGCGTGTTAGATGGACACTCTACCAACTGAATCACACCCCTAGCCCATGTATGTACTGTAGCAGGTGTGTTTCTTTGTGGCATCTTTGTACTTGAAGTACAGTTCCTGAGCTCCTGAAACTCATGAAAACAAAGAAAATGTTGACCAAGACAAACTCCAAGAGGGCAGTGAGATTTCTTCTCTGAAGTTCTCCAACTATTCCACAGTGTGGCATCCACATCCACCAACTAGGAATACTGTTTCCCATACACTGTTTCAGCAAATGGAAAAACTGGATGGATGCTCCCATCTCCTGATAAACAAGTGTATCACATCTCTTCAGTTCACCACCCATCAAAGTGGGTGGGGTGTTGGATTCAGATACTTCTAGTTCTCTTAGAAGCTTCCAGTAAGAACCTCAATGAACACACCAGTCAACCTAGCTACACAAATCTCACCAAACAAGACTGGTTGTTCAGTGATGCAGTATTATCCCCAATCACTGAAAACTGTTTTCAGTTGAAGCTTTTGAGACAAGAACTCCCCATGTGGGAGATTAAAAAGGCCTCTAGTTAGGGTCCCATCTGTCCCCAGATACAGACTCTGGCCAAAGGCTGGCCTCCAGGGAGGAGTGACCTCTTGACCCACAGCTTGTTTGCACTGTACTCAGCTAACTGAACTCCCTTCTGTGTGAGACATTGCTAGGGCTGGTGTGGTTTCTGAACAGCAGTATGAAGGGAAAAGGCAAGGCTCTTTTCCTTTACCTCCAGGAAGCAAGATGAGGGTGGGTGAGATGCTCAGATGGTAAAGGCACTTACTGCCAAGTATGACAATCTAAGTCTCATCACCAGGACCCACATGGTAGAAGGAGAGAACTGACTCCATCCATACTCAGGCCATGGTGCATGTGTGCACACACATAAAATAAATACAATAAAAATTTTAAAAGAAGCACAAATGAGTGGGATTAAATCAGGTGGTCTGAGATAAGAAAACAGTTACTACATTTGACATATGGTTATGTGTCATTTAATCATGGGGATTTGTTCTGAGAAACCTGTCAGGCAAACATCATAGAGTATGCTTACACAAACAAGATGGTATTGTCTAATACACACTCAGGGTGTCTGGTACACACAGGCAGACACAGACACACATAGACAGCCATTCACATATGCACACTCGCTCATGGTCTAGCTATTATTTATGATGAACCAAGTAATATTAGATTCAAACACAAGAGAAAATGATGCAGTCAGGGGATGCAATAAACACAAGATGCTTGAGGTTGATGGCAGAGTAACAGGCATGTCATTTTATAGTGACTGTTTCTATGAGAAGGTGTATTTCTTGATGATGAAAAACATAGTACAAAAAGTGCATAAACCAGTATGTTATTTGTTACATTAGCAAGTATTATTTATTGTACCTAATTTTATGGGCTTTAATGTACCATGCAGTATAGTGTGTTTACACTGCCATCACCACACAAGTGACTGATGTGTTGTTCCAACATCTCTAGGTGATAGAAATGTCTAAACTTACATTTGCTGTCCTTTGTTGACCCTTTCATCATTCTAGGTCACAGTATGTTATCAATGACTCCTGGTGCCATTCATAAATGGCAGATCTTACTCTCTTTACCAAGTTGCGTTCTAGCCATGTGGCTGCACAATGTGGCGGGGACAGCTGTCTGATCCATGGGGATTTGGGTGCAGTTTTATAATGTCGTGACTGTGGAAACATCCATACCTGAGGAAGGAGAGGGCTTCTTGAGATGGTGCTGGGAGGGGAGTGTCTCATGTTGCTCCCCAATTGTTATTTTTTTCCTATCACCCAAAACATGATTCCTTTGTTTCTTTACTTTTCTTGGTTTTTTTCTCTCCCATCCTCTCCCTTTTCCTCTTCCTTTTCCTCTTCCATCCCTTTCTTCAAGCCCAAGCTAGCTTCTACCTCATGATTCTCCACCCCCATATTAGTTTGCTTTCTGTTGCTGAGCTAAAACACTCAGACTGAAAGCAATTTAGGAGATGAAAGAATTAGACTTCGAGGTCATAGTCCATCATTGAAGGAAGTCAGGTCAGGAACTTGAGCAGAAACCATGGAGAAATTCTGCTCACTGATTTGCTCCCTCTGGCTCAAGCTCAACTAACTTTCTTTTATAGCCAGAGCCACCTGCCTAGGGAGGGGACAGCCCACAGTGGTATTGCTTGATCATCAGTCAAGACAATCCCCTACAAACTTGGCCACAGGCCAATCTGATCTGGGAAATTACTCAATTGAAGTTCTCTCTTCCCAGGTGACTATGTAATAAAAACTAACCAGCAATTCCTCCCAAGTGTTGGAATTAGAGGCATGTTTATTTCTTTACTTGAAAGGCAGAGTATGTAAATTCCTTAAAATGTAAGATATAGATTAAGGCAATATACATTTCCCCCATCAACTGTAAAAGTTACCTAAAATTCTTTTTCTAACATCATCTTTTTAAAACTTTCTATTCAGAAGGGATATAGGCACACAGATTCATTACATAGATTGAAAGGAATTGGTTTAAGCTATGGCTCATTTGTACCTATACATACATATATATGTATGGTATGCACTTAATACTTTTAAATTTATTTTTTGTGTGTACATATGTGTATGTGTGCGGGCATGCATGTGCCATGGTGCATGGGGGTGTATGTAGAGGTCAGAAGACAGCTTGTGGGGGTTGCTTCTCTCTTTCTACCATGTGGGTCCCAGGGATTGAACTCATGTCTTCAGCCTTGGTGACGAGCACCTTTATCTGCTGAACCATCTTGCCCACCCATACTTTCTTATTTAGAAGTTTTAGATTGATAGAAAACTTCAGAGTTAAGAAACAGATTTCCCATATACTTCCTGAGTCTCACACGGTTTCCCCACTATGCCTTGAAAACCATGGTACCATGATATATTTGTAACAGTTAATTAGTTGATATGGATACATTATTAAAGTCCATAGTTCACATTAAACTGTATATTGTACATATAGTTCTATGGAGTTTGAATAAAGTTTATAATGTCCTGTGTCTTCTATCATAGCCACACAAAAGAGTTTCATTGCTCTGAACTTTACCTGTTCACCTCTCCAGAGAGCCAGGACAACTAATCACACAGCTTTACTATCACACAGCTTTGCCTTCTCCAGAATGTTGATAGTTGCCCTTTTGTGTGGCTTATTTCACTTAGGGGTATGCATTTAACATTCTCCAAAATGGAATAGAGAAATGACTCAGCAGTTAAGAGTACTTCCTGACTTTGCAGAAGACCCAAGTTTGGTTCCCAG